TCAATCGAGCAAAACATATAAACACAGAACTTTCGGATGTCTAGCGTTTCTGTTTGCCCCGACCAGCTAAAAATTCTTGTGAACGGGGGTTAACCATCCAACAAATAATCCTGAGCGGTTAAAAAAGCGTTATAAGCCTGACTGGTGGAAAGCAAGACACTTATGAGCGCTATTATACTTCAGCTCCGCCCCCTAGTGTCCACAATTTCTCGCCATGTTTGACATGTACATCCTGTGGCTTTTGAGGCACTATTGCGTACCAATAAATACAGAGCAAGATTCAGGCACACTCAGATATCCTCAACCGAAACCTGTATTTGAAAGCCAGCTAAAATTGGACAAGAACTTAGAAAGAAATTTCAAAATGATGTTCAAAGTACTTCTTATATTCGCCGCTGTATGCGCAAGCGGTAATGGCCAAAGTAAGCTGTACTACATTATATGAACTCTCTCTATATATATCACATGATTTGCACATTTTTATTCACCGCAAAAATTCACAATATGGCTTCTTGTTCATGGGCAGGGGCCGGGCTGACTGTAGCTTTTCGATCTCGGCGAAGCAGAAAATCCGGGTCCATGCATTTGTATATGAATGTAAATATACAGTATTTAGTATTAAAAATTTAGTAGCCTACGTAGGCCTATAAAATAAAGTTATATCTTTTAAACAAATGATCACATCGCACACGTCCGTTTGATCGCTATATATAATTAGTTTAGAAAGTTTATAATAAAAATAAAGCTCACTAGTTTTTTAGAACTCATGGCAAACTTATCAATAGCCTGTATGTTCATATTTTTCTTTAGCGTGCATGCATGAAGCACTGACATTAAATTATTCATGATATTTCTGCGTTGGCGAGGATCTTAGCCTTGTCTTAACTGATTTCAGATTCGAGAATATATATAGGCTTTCATATACGAGCATGCATGCATTGTTTCATCAATGCAATTTTCTTTTCTGAAAGAAAATTTCCTAAGACACGCCTCCAAGTCGATATTTTCGCGACGATTTGTTTCGCCAACAAATTGGTGGTCGGACTATAGCTTGCAGTCGGACGAGACAAGAGTCTTCAAATTGTAAAGTCTTTTTCATTCGTTCAGCATGAAGCATAACGAATTTTTTCTTTATATATACAGATGGTATCCCGTGCCCGTGTGGTTGGGAGAACATTTTGAATGGTTGTTATCTGTTTGTGAAGAACAATTAAGGTCAATTGGGACACAGCTCGCGCAGGTTGTCTGAAACGTGGTGGAGACCTAGTCATTCCTACCAGTAACACAACATGCGATCTTCTCAGTCAGCGTGCTAAAAGCCTTGGACTTGATAATCCGTGGATTGGTGCCTTCAGGTATCTCAATTATGCAGGGTGTATAAAAAAAGTCACATCAAACTTTGGCCGCCATATTATTGTGCGGTTGTAAAGGTGAATAGGGGTATAGAAATCCACCGATACGCCCAAATTTGAAATAAATTCCGCGATCCGACAATGGTCCAGTTGTCTAAATTTGAATCCGCTAAAAGCTCTACTGACTATGAAGTCACAATCCAGGATTCGAACTAAATTGCAAGCTAAATCCACAATCCGATCAGCCAAAATATTAGATAAATCCGCAATCCTCTGTATTAAATTAATAAGATCCGCAAATCCGTGTAAAATATTTGCCAGATCCAAAATGCGAACAATTTTTTCTGTGAAATCCGACGATCCGAAAACCTATTCACCCCCTAAAAATCAAACACACCTACGACAACGTAGGTCATGAGTTGTGTGCATGCGGTTGCATGCGACAGTTTTAGGAAAAAAAGTTGTGCAGTGGAAATCGGCCGTAAAATTATGTATATATATGCTTCTCAACCATTCGAAAATTAGTACTAATAGGTCATGAAAATAATGGTATTAAAAATCATTGATATATATAATTGTATTTTGCAAGAATTTTTCTTTTTTTTTGCAGACGACGAGAGGATGGGAAATTCTATAATACCTGTGGAAAAGCATTAAGTTTCATATACGCTGGAAACCGGGCGAGCCAAATAATTATAACGGCACTCCAGAAAACTGTGCCTGATATATTCGCATGGCTCAGGAAAAGGAAAATGGAACGACCAGTATTGTACCAGCCTCCAAGGATACATCTGCCAATTTAAAGCACACAGATGTGAGTGTTTAACAAACAAGACGATCCATCATTAAGTGTTAGTCGCTGGGATTATTGCGATGAAATTGAAAGCTTTGCGTTTTACCCAGACGGCCAGCTAGAGCTGCCAATTTTGTGTTAGATATCATTAAGTCGCGCGAGGTCAACTTTTTATTGTCATATTGATTTCAAATACCTCAATATCGAACATAATTTTCTTACTACGTTGTCGTGTCTGAATAATGACATATTTTTCTTTTTAAAGGTGATTAAAGCAGCAAAATTGAAATAAAGTCATGAAACATAGCTACTATAGTAAATAGTACGGTATAACTTGTAGGCTATGTGCTGTAGTAATTCAAATATTTGCAGAAAAGATGTATTTTTTGTAAAAATACCTGATTAAATGTTTAGTTTGACAACTGTTCTAAGCAGTGCTGTAGTCCTGAAACGCTAACAAGGGGGCCTCAAAGGGGTGAGGAGGTGTAGAGTGCGAGTATTTTACCAGGGCGAGTGGAGAAACGACCACGTTGTTTATGTTAACACGGTAAGAAAAACCATTTCATTTTTAGATTTGTAATTTTATTTTCATATTCGAACGATGATTTTCTTAATAACACCACAATAACTTCGGAACGGTTAAAGCAATCGAAAAAATACTCAATGCCATTCTTTATTAACATTAAATGAATGAGATAAAACATCTTAGACATTCTAGCTTGCCAGGTTTTCTCTCATTATCAGTGGCGTGCTGGCAGGGGGCGGGGGCCAAACCCCCCCTTACAAAAATTTCACATAACATTTCATATATGAAAATTTCATATATGAAATCGTTATATGGAATTGAAACAAATTTCATATATGAAATATTTCATATATGAAATATTTCATATATGAAATATTTCATATATGAAATTTTCATATATGAAATTGTTTCAATTCCATATAAAGATTTCATATATGAAATATTTCACATATGAAATTTTCATATATGAAATTGTTTCAATTCCACATAAAGATTTCATATATGAAATATTTCCTATATGAAATTTTCATATATGAAATTGTTTCAATTCCACATAAAGATTTCATATATGAAATATTTGATATATGAAATTTTCATATATGAAATTGTTTCAATTCCACATATAAAGATTTCATATATGAAATATTTCATATATGAAACTGTTTCAATTCCACATAAAGATTTCATATATCAAATATTTCATATATGAAATTCCACATTAAGACTTCATGTATGAAATTCTCACATGTTTCAAATGTTAAGTTTTATGCATTGAAATCGAGTCAGGGGAAGTTTATGTGATCCCATTTACCCGAGATTAAACAAAGCGAGCAATGGCTTTGAGGTATTGCAATAAGTCCTTATGAAACCAGACAAGCACATGCTAACAACAGACTAAATATAGATCAATGCAAAAAACATATTCGCACGAATTAGTGCTCAACAATTTCATTTTGCCCATTTGATATTTCTACAGAACAAAATCAAAAGCCACCTGGATCATGTTATTTTTCCGAATCATTAACAAATGACTTATTTCAATATCTCAAAATCATTGCACGCTCGTTTAATCTTGTATAAGCGGGATCATATGAACTGCCCCTTAGAAAAATCTACCTAAATAAGAAAGTTACTTGCTATGCAGGTTTGATATACCACATCAGACACTAGTTTATTCGAAATATACAAATTACAAAATAATAAAAACTTAATTACAATATACATACAGTATATTTACTCTTGGTTACAAAAAATATCCCAAATTTTGTGTGATTTTGAGGAAATTATCCATTTGGGACATTTTTTGACACACCCTGTATATGCATTACTGAACTAAAAGCATGCAGAAATAAAAAATCAGGGGTGGGATACCAGTTACACCATGCAGGGACAAGACCAAAGATTAAAATTAAGAAATGCATATAATATCATTACTAAAATATTAAAACAAATACTGTATGTTTGTGTTCTCTTAACAGTTCTCCTGCTTCTCCAGTTCACATTGAATCTTTTTCTTGCATTCTTAGTTAATTTTGAACCGGCCAGATAGGCCAGTTAAGTTACTGTACCTATTAAATGCCAGAGCTAGCTTTCCCCTCGACGAGTAAATTGTCTGGCAGTAGACAGAGTAAAATAATAAAGCAAGGCACATCGGTGCAATGCAACTCAATGGATTAACTAGACACATGGGCAGATAGGCCAGTTAATCCATTAAGCACCAGAGCTCTGCCCTTGATGAGTAAATCATCTGGCGTTAGACAGAGTAATATAATAAAGCAGGGCACATCAGGGCACAATTTGTTAACTTATATCACAAAGAAAAATATCAGTAAACTTACATGCTTGCCTGTCTTGTTTTGGTGGGCCTGCCGGTCTCCTTGGTTGCCTGTCTTGTTTTGGTAGGTCTGTCGGTCTCCCAGTGCATGTGGAGGGGAAGCCATTACACATCTGAGGGTTAACTATAAAAGGGTACAAATGGTGCATATACTAAATAAGTATGTTGAATACGAATATACTGTACAGTCATACCAACACTCTCCCCTTAACAATAAAGTCGTTCGGCATTTCAAGACAATGAAACATAACAAATAACTAGGGATGCAATGGATATCATATCTGGCCAGATATTGAGATTTTACTTCATTTTCTGTTACATGGCCACCCAATACTGGGTATTATTTACATAAGGTTCAGGCCTTCAAGATTTACAGTTACTGCAGGTTAGATGATTTGATTAGGTTAGATGATTTGATTAGACTAAAAAAGCAGGGGTGGTTATCATATTTTTATTCAATGATTGATAACAGGAATGCTTGTAAACACTATTTTCAAGATTTTATATGCTTGTTTGTAAATGCAGATTTGACCATTAAACTAATGCAAGTGAGGCTTTTGCTACCAATGATGCATGTTTACTAGTGCTAGACTGTGAAGTTCTTTCCTATTATTTCAAATCAAAATTTTATAAACACCATCACTTTTTAACCAATTAAAATGATTACTTAAATTAACCTTAAATGAGGTCTGAACCTTATATACTTGAATAATACCCTGAGCCTGGCTCCAGGGATATTTTTCAACTATCCAACATATCCTCAACTATCCAACATATCTGGCTGGAGGGCAAAAAGACTCTAC